AAACAAGCAATTTTTAAGACAATATCCCAAGGATCTATTTTCATATGTAGAAACAGTGTTAGGTTATAAAATCTGCAATAAATGTTGACATTTTTGATTGGCATGTTTTTTTCAGAACTTCTAGGTATTTCGGGGAGTATTATTTTGAAAATCCATGTATTCCGAGAAAACAAACCATTCTATTTGAAAAATCTCTTATTCATATTCTATTCTATTTGTATTATATTCCCAGTTTGGGAAACTGTTCTGCAGTTCTTGGTATAGACTCTGTGTTTTGGTCATTTTTCTCTTTTCTTTTCTTTTCTTTTCTTTTCTTTTCTTTTCTTTTTTTTTTTTTATTGTCTTTTCTTTTTTTTCTTTTCTTTTCTGTCACATAACCTGTTTTGGTAGATTAAAGAATGGTAGTGGTCTGTGGCAGGGTTTGCACCTTTCAAGACTTATGGCTTTGTTTTGTCACCAGACAAGGAAGGAAGGAAGGAAGGAAGGAAGGAAGGAAGGAAGGAAGGAAGGAAGGAAGGAAGGAAGACAAAATAGTAAACAAACAAACAAACAAACAAAACACCCATCAAAAAACCCCCAGAAGGCAAAAGAGGAAATAAAGGAGGTGAACAGTAGAGCTATTTAGGAGAGCATGTCTTGGGGTCAGATAATGGCTTTAGAGGGATGTTTGCCTTGTTAATGGAGAGTGATGTTTAGCTATTTATTTAAGTAGGAATTAATAGAATTAATTAATTCCCTTATCGGTGATTAATATCTGATGAGTAACAGGAAATACTAGAAGTCGGAGAGCAAAATGAACATTTTTCCAGACAGGCTAGTCAGCACAGAAGTAAGGCTCAGAATTTCTGCCATTGATCACAACCAGGCGAGGAGAGGAGGCCAAATTGTTCCTCTAGCTGGGAAGGAGCAAAGAGCTTCCGGCAGAGGAAGGGTCCATTACTAACAAGTTGGGAACTGGCCTTGGTTTTCATAGGGTAGTTACCAGCCAGTTTCTAGCATACCTGCAGCCAAGTAGGCACAGGTACTGTGAGTGAGCCACCCATGTCTTGTCTTCTGATTAATTTAGCCTGTGCTGGTAGTAACACAGAGATGGACTGCTTGGAATGAAAGTCTGGTCACAGGACAGCTCTTTGTGGAGGCAGGTCTTCCTCAAAGTTTGCACCTCATAGCAGTTTAACATCAAAATCAACACATAAATGACACACCAAACTACATTTCTTTTGAAGGTACTCCCTTGAGTTCAGGGTTAAGGGATCTCATGAAGAAGGGAAAGTTGAGAAAGAAAGCCATCCTTTCTCCTAAGTTCAGTGTATGAATGCCTCATGCTATTGACAGGCTTGCTTCTTTAATTTATGTGAAAAAGCTTGCAGGAGAATATCCCAACATCTTGGAATATTAGTGCAATGTATTCCAACACTTTTCATATTAATATCAGAGCCCTACTACAGCTGCGAGCAGGTTCCATGTGCTGACTGGACGGCTTAAAATGTGCATCCTATCATGCTGTTCACCTCATCTGACATTTTGCTCATGGTTTATTATACAATAGTAATGCTTGATTTGGGTTTTCCTGGAGGTGCATACCATGTATTATAGGCTACACAACAGGTCAACAAAATAAATGAATTATTCCTAACAGCTATGTGCTTTGAAAACTTATTCCTGACTCTTGTATGCTTGTCACCAAGAATGGCTATGAGTATCCCCTCCTCCATACAATTAGGTAGAAAGCTAAAAATCTTACAAAGAGATGCAAAACTAGAGCATACATGATACCTTGCACTATTATATAACGTGAAAAAGGTTATTAACAAGGAACTCAAATGAACTCAAAACATGATACCATGGTAAACCGACCTTTGCAGGTGTTGCTACAGAGGCCCTCCAGCTTGCACTCTGGCTGCTTTTCTGCTTCGAACAGCCACAGTGTGTACGTGATTTCTACTGTTCCCTCTTTTCCTGCTTTTGAGCATCTTACACTGTTTCATAAATTTATGTTAACAATCCCTCTCTCTGAAAAAATTGCTACCACCCCCTGTGACAGATATGTAATTCAGGCACAATGACAGAGAGATTCTTCAAATCCATATAAATATTAAAAGCTCCATATAGATGCTCAGCTGGTTTTCATCAGCTCAGTAAGCATCTGTCAGTGACTTGAGGCAACTACAAGCTCAGGTACTTTGGATTTGATATGGATAGGCTCCAGATCCTCTCTGTCCTGGCAACATGGAGCAAAGCAGTGAACTGGGCTTCCTGAACTCTGGCCAGTGTCCTGCAACATGGCTGGTCTTCATTTCCCTCTTTTTACCCTGCAACAAAGTCCTTCTTCTATTAGTATCTACCCTATGTCACAATTAAACCAAGTGTATTTCAGTATTCCTGTTACCTATTTGCAAACGTAGTCATTGTGAAGGCTTGCTTAAAATTCCAGTGTAGCTAACCACAAAACTGCCTTAGAGAAGAAGTGTATATCTCCAGAAAAAAAAAAAAAATTATAAATAAGGGAATAAGAGACTACCACTGCTGTTTAAATTGCTTCCTTTCTTTAATTAAAATATAAAACCAGAAACACTGATGTAAGACAACATATCAACAATAACTCACTGGAAAGAAAACCCTGAAAATACCAAACATATGTGACATTCGGTTCCTGATCAAAAAAGATTATACATATCAGCTGATCCTTCCAAAAGTCAGGATATGTAACACATTTGGATGTACACATTTGGAAAATGCAATGCAATCTTGAAACCTGTCTTCTAAAATCCAGAAGAATATGTTGTTGATATTTGCCATAAAGTATAGTGATACTGACTCTAAAGCTGCACTTTAGCATGCCATTTTCCTTGTCCCTCTGCAGGTGTGATATACTGTACCTGCAGCCTTGAGAAGCCAAGATTCCTTGGGATGTTCTTGCCTTGGAGATTTCGTCAAGTAGATCCTCTTACTGACATCTGAACCCAGGATGACCTTGGACCATGCGGACATGCTAGAATTTCACACGACTCATCTCTGTAGGTATTATATAGTCTGAAGCCAAAATATCAGGGGAATTTGTTGTCCTATAAATGCAGACCTGTATTTTGCTAAATACTTAGATGAGGACTGGCTTTGTTACACAGCACACCCCCTCTGCCTGCCAGAAGGCTGGCAGCTGCCTGGTCTCTGTATTCAACCAGCAGATCATGCCTTGGTTATCTGACATATGAACAAGTAGGGATTACATTAATTACCATAAATGTCTTCTCATAATACATAATTTTAGAAGGACTTATTTAATAACAGATAACAGATGGGAAAATACACTTGTTCCCACACTGTAAAAAATAAAATAATCCATCACTAAGTGTTTTACTTTTGTTAGCTTCTAGTTCTTCTGGAATCTATGGCTACATTTCAATACTGGCTCAACTTGTGCTCACAGACTGTTTTCCTTATGATTATTTAAATTAATTGATGATTTTAAGCACCACTAGAGGGCACAGAATTATAACAATATTTCTTAATGGATCACAAAAAGTACATCAGGAACTGGAGTTCAGTAATGTTCATAGTTTATTGGCCAGATCCTCAATTTAAAGCCTCAGTCCTATCAACAGTGATGCACATGTGCTGCTGTGAGCTGTGCCATTGCCCACCCCAGCAATTAAACAAAGCTCAAGGGTTAGTGCCCCTGGGGCAGAGGGCTGGCTCAGTGGGTTGGACTATCTGCTCTCAGTTGAAGTTTGGCTTTCCAGAATTTGAGTGTCAGCCCTCAAATGAAGTGACTAAGGCCACTAGAGTTTAAATCTAAGCATGGTTCTGGAGGAGTGGCTGATGGTAAAGGCATGCTGTACATCTTCAGCTGTAAATGAGTACATAGGGATGAGAAAAATGAAGAGTATAAACACTTGCGTATATCAAACCAGGGAAATGCAAACAAGTAGTAAATGAAGGATTAACTAACCCAATTTACAATTCAAAGAAAGAAGAGTAGATATGTGCCACTGGAAAGCTTAAATATTAATGGGATTTCTGTGGATAGTTGTATCAACTACTTAACATCTGTTTTGACATGTGTGCTGTTTCTGCCATCCTTTATCACGAGTCTGAGTGGCCACTGTGGTTCACATGTTAGAAAGTTCCTGTCTGAACTGGCCTGCAGTGGAGGAGAAAGTGCAGTGAAGACAGGAAGAAGTTTAAACTCGTCATTTAAAGACATCCGATTGAATGGCATTGGACACATCGTAGCAATGAATTAGCACTGGTGATGTGTCCATGTTGCATTAATAGGGGCACAAGTTCATGTTCACTGCCAGAACGTGAAATGAGTCTTACAGTTTGTTCTTTTCTGGGAGTTGAAGACTGTGTGTTAATCAAAGCTTGAGAGCCTGGCCTAACTACACATCACAAAGGGAAAAACAATCCGAAAATTATTTTCTGAATGTTTCTATTGAATTTCGCTTAACATTAGCATGCACCTTACTGTTTTTCATTAACACTTCAGGAATTAGTGTCACACTTGCACATCGTGGCGCTCAGCCTGCAAAACCAGTGACATGCAGCTATTTCTCGTGAAGTGGGTGCTGAAGTGCCGCGGGGTGTCTCGTCCTGTCCCCGGGGCAGCGCAGGGCTCCCAGGCATCCCCGGGGGACGGCCGGCGCTGCCGAGCTGCGGCCCCACGAGCGGCACGGGCGGCGACAGCCCGCAGCAGGCGGCCGAGGGGTGCGGGGGGAGTGTTGGGGGATGGCCGGGGGTCGCCCGCCGAGCACGGGCGATAACCCACGGGCAAAGCGGGCGCGGTGCGGCCGCCGGGCGGGCAGCGCGGTGCGGCCGCGCCTGCGGGTGCCGGGGTGGGTGGTGTTTTTTTCCGCAAGCTCACCTTGATGCGGCGGGGCGTAAAAGGGCCGCGCTCGGCAGGGGGAGCATCGCTGTCTCGGCGCAGCGCGGGCACCGAGCGGCGGCACCGCTGCGCTCCGGCCGCACCGCGCCGGGGCCGGAGCTGACGGGGGCCGTGGGGGAGCCCGCAGGAAGGGCAGGCCCGCCGCTGCCCCTGGGATCTGCTGTCTCGCCGCCGCACGAGGCCGGGACACGGCGGAAGCGCCGGAGCGGCGTGCCGGGCCGCGCCGCCCCCTCGGGGGGACACCCGGCGGCTCGTCTGCGCTGCCCCGCCCGGGCCGGCCGCGCTCCCTGCCCGCAGTGGGGTCCCGCCGCCGGCCGATCCTCCCCCGCGCCGCCGCCGGGACTTACGGCAGTTTTGTTACTTTCTCGGACTTACATGGACATTTCCCGGGAGCGCGCTTAGAACGCGGGCGCCGCGTCCCGCCAGCCGCTCGCCGCCCTCCTCACCGCGGGCACCGCCGCTGTCTCTGCCGCTCGCGCCCCGGGACGCGAAGGCTCCCGGCGGCGCGGCCCCCGCCTGCCCCCACCGGCCCGCCTGCCTCGCCGACTTTCTCCGCCGCTCGGAGCGAGAGCAACAGCTTGCCCGGCCCGGCCGAGACAAACGACGCGGGAGGCAGCGAGGGAGCGGGCGGCGGCGGGCACCGCCGAGCCGCGGCCTCTCCGCCGGAGCCGCGAGGAGCTGCCCTCCCTCCCTCCTCCCCGTCCCGGGCCGCGGAGCCACGCCGGGCGGCGCTGCGGGGACCGGCGGCGGGGCCCCGCCGCCCGGGAGGAGAGCGCGCCCGGGGGGGCGCCCGCTCCCTCGCCTCTTGCGGGCTGCTGCCGCGGGGTGCCTGGCCGCCGCCGCCCGCGCCCTGCTCCGCCGCGGCCCCGGCGCCCGCTCCGGCGCCCGGGGTGATGCCATGCCCCGCAACCACGGCGGCGGGGAGGAGGGCGGCTCCGCGGGGCTCTGGGTGAAGAGCGGCGCGGCAGCTGGCATGAAGGATGTGGAGTCGGGCCGGGGCAGGGCGCTGACGAGCTCAGCGGCCCGCGGCGACGGCCTGCTGCTCCTGGGCACCGGCGGCGCGGCCGCCCCCGCCGGGCTGCGGGAGGGCCGCCGCGGGAAGCACGGCGCCCGCATGAGCCTGCTGGGGAAGCCGCTGTCTTACAGCAGCGGACCGAGCTGCCGCAGGAACGCCAAGTACCGCCGCCTGCAGAACTACCTGTACAACGTGCTGGAGCGGCCCCGCGGATGGGCCTTCGTCTATCACGCCTTCGTGTGAGTACCGACCCGCTCCCCTCTCCTCCCGTCCCGTCGCGTCCTGTCCTGTCCCGACCCCTCCCGTTCGTTCCACGGGCTGCCGCCCACACCTGTCCTGAGCAGCGCCTCGCCGCACGGCGCGGTGCGTGCCTCCCCTCCTGCCCCTCCGGTCCCCGGGCATCACTCCGTGCCGGGACACGGGCAGGACGAGTACACCGCGAGTGGCGCTGAAAGTGCCCGGAGGAGTCAGCGGAGGCTCGGGAGCCTCTGCCACCTGCGGCGCGGCTCTCCGCGGGTAGCCCTAGGTGGGAGGTGATGGGGGGACAGCTCGGTTCAGCCGGCAGAGAACCGGCGGGGAGCACGGCGGGGAGCACATGCTCGCTGGTCTCCCGGGCGCCCGAGGCAGCCGGTTTGCGCGGGGGGAGGCTCCGCGGAGCTCCCGCTGATGCCACACTCCGGCCTCGAGATTAGACGGGGCGAGGATGCCGGCAGCTGCCGGGTCCTCCCGGCAGTGGGTGTCCCAGCGGTATCCGCGGCGCCTGTCCTGCCGAGAGGACACCGAGCGCTGCGCGGTTTGAAAAGTTACCGCAGCGCTGGTTCTGCCTGAAGAGTGTTTTCCGGGCGCGCCTGGTCCCCGCCTCGCAGGGAGCGCGGGTGACGGCGCCTTCCCACGCGGGTGCTCGCCGCGGGATGCTGCGCCTCAGGTGCGGCCACCTGCCGCTGGCAGGGCGCAGCGAGCCGCTGCCGCCCGGCGGCTTTTCCGCCGGTGCCTGCCGCTGCTGAGCTTTGACGCTGCTGAGCAAGTGACGGTTCCTGTCACACTCATCCTGAAAAAGCTCGTGACGGAAATATATGTTCCGTCCCATCGCTCAGTGGAGAGCGGTACTGTCACCGCGCTGCGAAACTTGTGCTGGTTTAACTTCAGGAGGCTTGCCCGGGACACCTGTGCGAGGGGACCCGTGGCTACACTGCTTGCAGTATCCTTGGGGTCAGCCATGCTCCTCAGTTCATTAGCAATCCTCCGTTTTTATGGGCTTTGGTAATATTCGGGGGAAAGGCCCTACTCAAAATCCTTTTCGATGGCTGAGCAAAACATGCAACAAAGTCTGTCAAGGAGTCGTGGAAGTGTATCATATTTATGGGTGAAAACGTGATCAATTACAGAGGAAGGAAGTTAAGCATTAACTTACTGTATTGGGGATATAATACAATTTATTGTTATTTCTGACTGTAGGAAATACATCTTAAACGAATGAGAATGTTTAACTGATATGCTGTAAGTAACTGTATTTGTTCCATGATAGTCATGGACATCAAGCTAGCAGATGCAGCATCTTGGCTAAAAAAGCAACTCTTCCCTAAAAGCTGTTTGACAGCATAAAGACTGCTGGTCTCCCAGCAGTAGGGGAACCCTCAAATCTTACTTTAATAGCAGCTGTTGTAAGTAAAAAGGTGCCAAAAACATGGTGCTCTGATTAATAAGATAGTTTGTGGATAGATTCTTTTAGTAGAGACAATTACTATAGATAGCAAGTAGTAGAAATATGCTTAATGTCATATAATATTCAGTAAAAGGATTTTTGTCCACTTAGAGGGTCTTCCCATTATATCTGTTTTACTCTGAAAATCAACTCTTACATGCAAAATGCTCTTCTTGGAGGGCATTTATTTGGTACATTTTGCTGTCTGGGTCCTTACAGGTGTTTTCCTGTGGCCTAGATGGATGTAAATTAGTGTTGCAACAACCACCAAAATATGTACTAGGAATCATTTTATGTCAGTGCCTGAAGTTGCCATACAAAATATTCAAATTATAGTTTTGGACCTTTTTGTTGGAGTTCGTGATAAAAATCTTTAAAACAGAAAAGTTCAAGTTGGAAATACAGCTGAGAAGTTTAAACCTTAAAAAAAAAAGGTGGTAAATTTCCAAACAGAGTGTAGTCATGACACAGCAGCGCTGTAAACAAGGAAGATTGCCAGCTGCGTTTAGATAATTGTCTGCATAGAAAGAGTGCCAGTTTTAATTTTTAATTGCAAATGGCAGTTTTGGCAAATGTAATGCCAGCATTACATCTTTTATCTGAACAGATCTGTGTGAAAGAGCTTGAAACATTACTGTAGTATAAGACACCTCGTAATAATATTACCTTGAAGTATCTGTCACTGATATAGTGTTTAAGGTGCATTTGAAGTTTCATTGGATTTCAGTTTGACAGCCATCCTTATTGCCAGTGATGCCGCAGTCTACAAATTATTTTAATGTACTTGTATAATTCTGATTTAATCACAGTCAGGATAATAGGATAATAGGATAATATTTATGGTGTTCCAGGCTCATTTTCTTCCAGCCACTTGATCAAATGTAGTTGCATCTTGGAAAACAGACTTTCTTACAGAATTAAAAAGCAAAACATAACAAAAAAGCCACAGCTATTTGAAAAAAGAAGTCTTGAGACAAGTAGCTTAGAGTTGCAAAGACATTACAAAGTACGTGGAGGAGATGTCTGCTTCTACCACTGCTAAGCTATTCTTGACTGCAGTGGAGCCCGTTTTAGCTCTGTACTATTTCTGTTACAGGAATGGGCTATCTGGGGTGAGACCTTTTGAGTAGATCATTGGTCTCCTGAAACCTCACTCTGATATGCAGGTTGAAGTAATGCAAGGGTGGTTATAGAGTTTTGGTTCTAAAGGCTTTGATGTAGCAGTTTAGACTTGTGTGTTTTTTAAATAAGAACTAAGGAATTGAAGATTTGTTACAAATAAGCAATCATTCCTGCGGTGATATCGGTGATATTTTAATGTATCGCTCCCATGGGGAAAAACACTTCAGAGCTGAGAAGTATGCCCAGTTAGCTCTTCTTTTTTGTTCTTGCCCTTTCAAATAAGATAAAAATAGGCCAGCCACCTAAGGAATGAGTGTTGTGACCTACATTCAGAAGTCAATTGGTTAGTTTATTTGTTAATACAGACCTGCCAGATTCTAGAAAAGACAACTATTTTGCAGCTAGGGGAAGAAGTTACTCTTGAGCAAAGGCCTTTGATTTCAGTAAAGTTGTGCTGGGGAGCAGAGCCATAAATGACATGTTTCTTGAAACCTTTTTGGCGCACTTCAGTAGTTCTTTACACTGAAAGTCCTATTAAAATTTAAGATCTTTCCTGCAAGTTTTTGAAAACCTTCTTTTCAGATACCACTTGATGTCACACCACATCACCTACACATGGAGCCATGTGCATATTTAACACGTTTGCTTACATTAAAAGGCTGTGATATTGTAACTTTTCAAAAGCATTGTCTTGGAATGTCACAGGATTTCTTTCTGTTATTGCTGTTGCAGTTTATTATGGCTTGTTTGGTGTGATAAAAATGTGCAGCCATTGCCTTAGAATGATCAAAGGGGAATTCCAGATTTGTTGCAAATTTAACTCTGGATTTCATCTTCAGTTATCATAAGGGCTTTGTATTATTTTTGTCCTTAACTGACATTCTGAAAATGAGATGGCATGAGATGTTCAGAAAAAAAAAATACTGCTCTTTGATACTGTTTATACTAGTAGGATATAATTAGTTGCATAAGTTTCCTAATTTAACATGTCGGATTTATTTCAGGAATAATAAAGTTTCTGTTTCTTACTGACTTCTTTGTAATGTATTCCATGCAGAAGTCTTTGACATTTTTTGTGGGGATATCCTTCTCTTTACAAAGCTACCAACTTTTGCTCTGAAAGCTTCTGAATTCCAAATCACACCTCTGGATGTGTGCACAAGGGCAGTAGCACTTTGTATGGCCTGTATTGATAGGTTTTCATGGACATCCCCCATTGGCCACTGCAGAAGAAAAGATGCAACATTAGCTGAATTGCAAGAGCCTGTATGGTATTATTCTTGTCTTTTGCGTTATTGATGGAAAAAGACTGAAAAATTATTTCTGGAAAAAATGTAATGCTGCCATCAAAGATTTAACTAGCTATTTTAGCCTTCCAGATCTGCTGGAAAGGATATAGCTCAGTAATGATCAGGATAGTATTGAACATCAGGTCTTTGCATGTGAACTAACAGAGCTGCATCACACCGTGCCCTTGGTATAATAATGGAGGTTCCATATTCTGATTAGAAAACCAGTCATGTGCAACACCCAAAGGACTTGCTTGTTCTCATGCTATTGAAAGTAGGAGAAATTATTTTATCTCTTTCTTTTTTCCAGCTTCTGGCAACTAATGAACTAGCTCCAGGTGCTTTATGGGTAACTCTACAGCTTTCATCTTTTCAGGCACCATTTCAGAGTCAAGATCTGGTGCTGTTAGGGTAACAATATATTTCTATATGTTTGTAGAAACAAATAACAACATGATATTTACAATTAACAAATAACAGTGTTGACGACATAAATATGTAGCAAATCAAGTCTTATTGGGTACTGAGGAGATACAAATTTAAAGCTCTTTAATTGTAGCACACAAATCTTAGTAGGCACTTTCTTTCAGGTACAACGAATTAAAGTGGACATTTAGATGCCCTTCAGTATAAATCTGCAGTGATTTGCTGCATTTGAAGCAGTCTGTGATTCTATACATGTGCATATTTCTCACCTACACATTGTTTTGAAGGAATCTTAGGAAGTTACCCAGTCCAGCTGGTAGATACACTCTTCCCAGTCATGTGAGATGGCTTTGTCTAGACAGGTCCTAAATTTCCCTGGATGAAGGTCGCCCCACCTTGCTGAATAACCTGCAGATCTGCAACACCTGCCTGCTGAAAAAAGAGCGGGGGTTGACATGGAGAGGGAAGAATGGAAGAGCCATCCTGAACCTCCCAAGTGGCAATTTATGGTCATTGTCCCTTTATATATGTTCTGTCACTGCTGAGAAGATTTTGACTTCTTCATCATTGTGATTTACCTTCAAGTAGATGTAGGCTGCTACTGGGTCACCTGTTAGATCACCCTTCTGTCAGACCAAACATGATCAGCTCCATCAACTGCTCCAAGACAAAAGTTCAAGGCTCCTGAGTATCATGGTTGCCCTCCAGTATCTCCTCTGTCTTCTTCATGTCCCTGTTCAGCTGGGAAGATTCACAACTGACTACCCTAGTGTGTGAGGCTGTCCTGAGTAGAGAAGAAAACTTTTTCAGCCTGCCAGTCCCAGTCTTCTAGTGTAGTTGCTTGCTGCTTGCCTTATTTCTGATAAAAGCATGCTGTTGGCTTGCTCAACGTGCTGTGTCCACAGAAACACCCTTTTTGCTGGGCCTGCAACCCAAACAGTGGGTTCCCAGCCTGAATGGATACATGGGATTGTTCTGCACCAGGAGCAGATATCTGCCTTTTCCTTAGCTGTGCTTGTAGGTGTTTATGGTCACGTCCGGAATTTTCTTGTTCTATCTCAGTCGTTGTGTACTGACCAGAGCAATGGAGATGACACAATCTTTAAAACCTTTGTCCTCTTCTTTGTGATTGGCAGAAAAGATTAAATGCTCAGCTATGCTTTTTTCCTCCTCTTTCCTGGTGTTTTTCATGGACAGCAGACCTCTCCTGGAATCCTGTCATGGGCACTAAATAACATCTAACTTCTATATTTTGCTTGGTTTTTGTTGGTTTGGCTTTTTTTTTGGTTGTTCTTTTTTGGGGCGAAGTGGGTTTTTATTTTTTTGTTGTTGTGGTGGTTGTTTTTGTTCTTCTTCTTGCTGGAGAGTTATTTTCCACCTCAGGATTTTCAGTAGATAAGTATCAGGAATGTTTATGCCTACCTTAGTAAAATCCTGGTTTACATTTATTTTTTGAGGCTTGATCTACTAAATTTTCTCATTTGTACTGGCCTTCCTTTCTGACTCAAGAATGGTGATCCAGGGGAAGTGACTAATTTTCTATAAAAATCAAAATAGATCCACAGCTTTCTGTAAAGAAGACTGCAGAAGACTTGCTTTGAGAAAAGTCACCAAGAAATGGATCAGGGAAAGTTCATGCATGTGCTCTTTCTTCTATTTGTCATAAGGTTTATTTCTTAAATTTGATTAGGAACTGTGTTTAGGAAGGTGGATAGTAGGTTAGTAATGGAGCTTCAAATTAATCTACAACCTTTGAAAGCAGAATCTTCCTCCTCTTAAAGCAAGACATGAGTTAAGAGTGTTTTTTTATAATTATCTTTTTGCTGTAATTTTTTCTCCTTTCACAAAACCCATGCAATGAGCATTATATGTGGGGATGAGACTCTTATCTCAGATCTGTTTTTCTTGGTGTGTCTCTGGAGAGGCATTTCTTGTCTTTTTTATTGAGTGTCTTGTGTGATGTGGGGACTCTTGGGAAACTTTCCATGGGCTCATGTGATGAAAGAACCTGCCCAAAATTACAGATTTTATTCTAAGGGATGGTATATGAATTTCTAGTAGGCATTAAATATGTGTTCTCAAAGGAGAAGTGCTTTTAGTGAATTATAGGAAGAATTTATAAAGATTTTAATTGTCTGTGAGAGAGTACTTATGTGACAGATTTTCAAAGTAGCTCCTGAACAATATCTTAATGATCTAGACCCCTTTCTTTGCTGGACACTTTTTAAAGTTTCTCTGTTGTTCAACTTTTTAAATCAAAAATAGGTCATGATATCTATTCAGACTTGATGATCTTTGCATGCTCCAAGTTTGACTATATTTTTAATAGCTGTTCACCCTGTTTTACTGTTGATTGTAACTTAATTAAGTTTCCTAAATTGAATGAAAGTACAATTGAACTAGTATGTCACAATAATTTCAGATAATTGCAGCATCAAATAGAATACCAAAAATTATTCTATTAATAATAGTGATTTCCCTATTCATGATAATAAGCATAATTAATATACTTAACAATACTCATAAAAATGCAGTTCAATTTTTCATAATTGTTTCAGTGGAAAGGAAAAGCACATAGTTTGTTAATTTATTAATCTTCTTTTTATGGAGAAGATCTATAGAAGGAAAACCCTTTATTCCTAGGCAATGTAAACTACTGGCAGTGCAAATAAATCTCACTATGGTAAGGTAGTTATTTCTTACTAATTCAGAGGTAAAACTTAGTTCCCAAGTGTTTACCATTCTTATATGGCTCATATTTTCATTAATATGAGTGGTGAAAATTAATGAAATTTGCAACTGAAGCACATTTCAGATTTTAACTGAAGCAAAATAGAGTCTTCTGCTCTTAGGTAGAAAAGATGAAGTAGAAAGCATGAATAATACTATCTAACAAAAAATCTTTAACATGTATACATAGTAGATGTAATTTACTATGTTATTCCTAATGAGGCAGATGTTTTTATTTCACAATAAATGTTGCTTTTTCTCATTAACATTAACACCCATACCATTTCTCAAAACATTAACATAATAGAGCATGCATTCTTGGTTTTTTAAGTTAATGCTTGTGCATCAAGAGTCACTTGTAAACATGTGTTATATAAAATATACTGAATTTGGGGGAACTTGCAATTGTTTTTTCTCCTTGTTTTCTCTGCAAGATTTTTTATTTCTTTTTGTAAGTTGGTTTTTGCAGACTTCCTATAAGACAGCAGATGTAGATTACCCAAGTGATTGCCACCATAGGTCACTTAAGGTAGAAAATTCTTGGACTGTTCAGTTTATCAATTGCAAAATAATTTTAAGGAGTTGCCCTTTCATGTGCAAAACCCTCCTTCCTTTAAAGATATTAATTAAAAGTTCAAAGTCTGTCTTGTAGGTCAGCTGCACCTAATCAAGAAATATTTTCAATTTTCTGTTGAGTGTTAGGTTTATCTTGTGATAGCTATCTGAGCTGTAGTGTAATTGCGTTACAGGAAGCTCAGCAAAATGTTCATCATTTGGGGCACTGAAGTGTAATCTCAGACAGTGTCTTCTGCTTGAAAGACTATGTGATTATTTCTTAATATATATAGTCTGATCCAGTGATGCAGAGGTGAGCACAGTCCTCCAGCCAGGCCTATCTGAAATTTTTTCTTTGGACTTCATCCAAGAAAATCTTCAGACATAAATGTGTGTGTTTTCCTTTACAGAGATGGACATAAATATGTTTCTACGCATTTTCTTGAAGAGTGAATAATTTTCAAAACCATGAAGTACCTGCAGCTTCCTTTCATTATTCTATTGTACATTCAATGGGTAATTCACTTTTTTTCTCCCCACTTGTACAGAATGAAGTTTAACAAATGAATCATGCTCTTAAACTGATTAGAAATAATGAAGAAAGGAAGTTCAGTACCTGCCCACGTCTTGATTTAAGCAATATATTCCTGTTTGTCTTGGCTTCTTTCTTGCTTTGAGACTCCATAGTTTGACCAAGCAAACATATTAATGCCTTTTGAGATTTCTGTAGAATTTTAATTCTTTTATTGCAGTCATACCTGATACCATATAGAAGGAACAGGCTGGTGCCAGAAGTCAAATATGATCAAACCAAGAGAATAAAAACTTTATGCTTTGAGAAAAAAAAATGCTACTGAACACATTCAGATGCTTCCTATTTCACTTTTCTCGTAAATTAGAACACTTGCACACACTCTTGAAGTCATTCAGTCAGAAACAGCATCTAACTTCTCCTAGGGCATTGCATTTAATTCCTTTATGTGGCCTAAGCTCATCCATAACTGTGGTATCTAGAAGTAAATGCACAAATCTTTCCCCTTGAAGCTCTCGTGACAGGAGTGCACTTAAAACTTACTGCTGGGCCTTTCTGAATATGGGTGAGAGTCCTGACGTACCTAAGAGGGTCTTTTGTGGGAAAATTAAGATGAAATAATGCTTTGGATGCGTTTCTGTGAGTGATGGAGATGGAGGGCCACTGATCCTTGGCAGTGAGTTTGAAAATGTAGCCACTCTCTCTGTGAGAAAAGTCTCTGTAAGTGCATCTTCTTAACAGTGGAACTGCCTTGTCACAGGAGAGATGAAGGTGATGGCTCAGTTGAAGCTGGCTTGATGAGGCTGGTGTGACATCCACATTACTGCCAGGCTGGTAAGCAGGTGATGTCCTCTTCCCATCAGCACCAGAGAAAATGAGATTTCCATATTTCCAGAAAAATCACACAGTGAATTCATCAGCTTGAAAAACTCTTTTACATCCAAGAAAGTTATGCTGACTGAGGTCAGAAGAAGTCTCTAAATTCATTAGGAGGAAAGAAGCCTCTTTTTCTGTTTACATCTCTCTGCAGTTGATATCTATCTGTAGAGTCAGGTTTATTCACATGTACCAGAAGAATCATTGCCACAGGAAGGAGCACAGTCTTGGTGTTTGCAGCTCTGTGCAGAAGGATCTGTATAGATGGCAGGAAATGTAAACCCGTGTGGGAACGAGCTGCTTGCAGGTATCTGTGCAACAGGGAGCGAAGAAGGAAGAGCTTATGCCGGCAGTGGGAGGGTTTTTCCTAGACCTGTCCTTCAGACTTTTCTGAATATAGTTCTGAGAATTTAGGAGCATCAAATCACAGACTCATTCAGGCTGGGAAAGGTGTTTAAGATCATAGAGTCCAGTTGTAAATCTAACACTGCTAAATCCACCAGTGAACCACATGCCTGAGTTCCGTGTCTACCACAGTTCTTTTAAATGCCTCTAGGGATAGGAAGTGAATAACTTCCCTGAGCAGCCTGTTCCAATGCTTGACAATCCTTTCTGTGAAGAAATTTTTCCTAACATCAAATCTAAACCTCCCCTGGTACATCTTGAGGCCTCTTCCTCTTGCCCTATTGCTTGTTACTTGGAAGGAGATACCAGCCCCCACCTCACTTCAACAGGCCTTTCTCGTGCCTTTGGCCACACTTACTAGGAATGTTAATATAATGTTTCTTCTTCAAGGAGGTTCCATTACACTTCAGGTGCAGCTATAGTTAGTTACAGTAAGTGTGCATGCCCTCAAGTGACTTATTCAGCTTTGGTTGATGAATCTGTGGATGTTTCTCTCTTTGATATGTCCCAACCACATCTGCAGACTGAAGATGAAGCAGAATTTAGAACAAAAGACAAACAGCTTTTCTAATGTTTGAGGGCATTGTAAATTTTTATATAATACAATTTGCTCAAGCAGACGTATTTCTTTCCCCTTAAGCTTGGAAAACAGAGATTTCATTTATTGAATGGAGATACTGTCTGGAAGGGAGTTATCCTTCCTGAAAGGTCACACTGACTGCTGACTAAACTTGTGATTTTTCTTTGCAAATAATTTGTTTGCTGGGTGGGGTGTTGGAGTTGAGAGGTTATTGTTGGCTACGATGAGGCAGATGATGGTCCTGAGTTACAAATACTCTTGGAAGGAATTTTGACTTTCGTCCTGAAAATTCTTGTGGACATTAGTTTTAGTGGTGTTATTAATAGATTTAGGTATTTACAGAGTAATTACTAGAAGCCATCAAACTCAACATTGATAATCTTTACTTCATGAATGATGGGAAAAACTTATCTGAATTACAGAGATTTTATAAAGCTTCCTAAGTTTTACTTGAGAAATTCTCCCATGGAGAGAGGAAGGACTAATCTGAAATCTTCAATGCTCCCATGTTATATGTGGACACTCTGCATGAGATTTTGCTGTTTGGAGATATTACATGGGGAGAGTTATGGTGAGAGCATTTGTGGCACTGCAGAGGCAGAAGAAGTTATCATTGAGGGAAGGGAGAATTTATGAATGTCTACTTGACTGTAACAGCACTTGACTGATACTATATATTACTTTCAGGTTAGAAATGTGCTTGTCTTCTATTAATAATATATTTTTAATATTTCTCCCCCACCCCTCTTCTTCTGCCTGTTTTCTGTAGAGAGAAAGCTGAAGAGATAGTATGAGTCAATTTACTGGATTTATATGTAAATAAAACATAGTATTGACCTTTACATTTTTCTTCCATCGAGGTCTTGACCCTGTATGCAGATCTGAGGAAATATCACGACATGAAAGTTTTGCTCACCACCTGATTGTGTTCCTGATTGCTTTTCCTTTGGTAAATATTCATGTAAATCTTGCTGAAGCTGAGCCTCAACTGGTTTATTCCCGTTTGGGTCCACTCTTTGCTGGAGCTGAGGTCACTTTTTAGCTGCTCTTACAGGTTATTTCATGGGAAGGGCTGCAGCTGGACAGCAAGATGCAGTCCAGTGTCTGACCTCCAGCATGGCTGCATCTACACTTGGAGGAAAACCTGGGGAGATGCATCTGAAATACCCTCTGGAATTCAGAAACTCGGTGAGAAATGCAGTCCTCAGGGACTTTTTCTGCAGAAAGGGATTCAGTCAGTCTTACTCTTGTCCAGGGAATTTTTCCTTGAAACCATAACTGAGTTAATAATACACACGAAGTATAAAAGGCATCTAAAAGTATATTAATATTAGATTAAATGTTGTTATTGCTGATGTTCATGAATGGGAAAGCTGGAACTGAAGTAACTGTACTGAACTGAGCACAATATCACACCAGTAAGTGTCAGCAGGAAAGTATTTACTTGGAAAAATCCTTTGTATGATCCTGCTCTCCAGGATTTTGCATATGTTCATATCTGTAAATTATCTCACCACAATGAAAGTTCATGGCATTTTTTTAGCTTGCCTTTATCACAAACTTTAGGAGTTAAATACTGTAATGGATAGTGACTGAGAACTCAGGTATGTTAAGATAAAACAGTGACAATTCATATATGATCTCTACCTGAATGATAACATTTACTAGCAGAGAACTCATTTATTTAAGAAATATGATTTTATGAAACTTTGATGGTGTTTTTCAAGCTTACTAATCCATGACAAAATTGTATTCTTCTCTGTCTTAAGTATAAAATCTCTATGAAGTAAGACTTAAATGCAAATTATCCTGGCTGAAAATGTGAACAGTTATAAAGATTTGGAAGCAATTTGCAGAAGAGAGATCTCTTGACTGACCAAGAGATCTGAAGTGTATTTTGGTTTTGGAAATGGGATCAGTATATTAGAGAGGCCTATTCATCTCCCAGTCTATATTTAGCATGCTGCAGTGAACCAGTGACTGCCTTCATCACAGGGCAGCGTGTATCCCAGTCATGCCTTATGACCCCACAGGATATCTGCTCTAGTCAGTATTTTGAGAAGGCTCAGTAATAAAGTTCTGTCTTTCAGCCTTGTCTTTAAACGTGAGGCATACTGTAATGGATATGTGACCTTGGCAGGTTATCTGTTCCAAGTATGGATCTGTGGATTAATTTCCAGCTGAGGGCTGCCTTCCCTACCTCTAGAGGGTGTGCAGGTGGTGGCAACAAATCACTGCACATACAGTTCATACTGTTTTCTGGCAGGAGAATAGAATTGTTGTCTTGCAGTCTAGCCCTGGGAATTTCTGGTTAGATGTTAAAAAAAATCATTAGCATGTTAATTTGATTAAAAACAGTAATTAATGAAGAGCACTGGAAAATTGTTAGGACACCTTGTGAAAATGATGGCACATAGAGGTACAGTTCTAGAGATGTAATTTACTGACCTGCAAATTTCTTTCATGTAACAAATGCAGAATATACAAGTTCATGATTAAATAATCCAAGCATTTAAATAATTCTGCATTTTTCTAAATCACTGCAGACAATGGTTGTCACTGTCTTTTATGCAGGGTGATAACCCAGTCATCATTGTTGAGATGGACCTTTATAATTCCTAGTATGACCTCTGTTGAGCTAATATCTCAAAGGTATGACCTATCTGTCATCACAGCTCAAATTATTAAAACTCTTAATATTTTGGTTCTTGCAACCTCCTTCTGTCTGGACTCAGCAGTGTGCTCTGTGTGCTCATCCCTGTGGCTGTACAACCCTTGCTCCTCAGCAGCTCTCTCCTTGCCTGGGGAGAAAGTTACTTCTCTTCACTTTCAATAGCTGTAAAAAGTATCTGGTTAGTTAATTTCGAAAAATACATTTATAGGTGAATAACAAAACCAGAAAGTCAGCTTTGCATGATTCATTAAGTGGAAGGAAACAACAAATGCAACTGTTCCTTTTTGCTGGGTCTGACACCCTCAGCAGCATGTGATACAAGTGCTTTTTATATGCCAATAAACTGCTTGACAGTAGACTAGCATTACTTACTGCAACTAAACCCAACCTCAGTAAAACTGTAACTAAGCCTATGATATGTTATTTTCCCGTCACTTTTTGAAAGTGACTCTTATTTTGGCAGATGCTGAACTGTTGCATGAGCTAGGAATTTCATTGTTTAACAATTTTATGAAGATTAATTATCACATAGTTGATGAGAGTCTCCTTCCTGTGTTATTTGTCTTTGTCTGAAGGTACTGAGTTAGAGAAATGGATGACTGGTGGAAGAGCAAGCAGAATGGCAACACAGCTTCTCACATGTGGCAGGGAAAGTAGGATGCAGATGAATTAATAGTGCTAAAGATACACCTAACTTTACAATTTTCTGTGAGGTTGGGAGCTGAAACAACTACAAAATAAAGTTGCTGGTAGAGACTGGTAAGAATATGTGGAAAACAGTCAATAACAGGGTATAACATACTCAAATCAGTCTCGTGGGTTCTTTCAAACAAGTTGCTGTAAAAATCCTAGGGCTTGACAATCTTTGAGAAAGGAACACATGAATTGGAGTAGTTTGTTCATTTTCAGGTATGTTTTTAGGAAGCTGCTTCTCCCAAACCACACTTGGACATCTGTATACTTTTGCATTCTCTAGTATGGAATGAGGATGGACTTAATGCTCTTTGAGATAGTTTAATTATTTCAAGTGATCATATTGCTGTGATATCATCACTGCGTCTTCTGGGACATTCTACCAGACCTCTAAAACTGTGTATAAATTATGCCCAAATTCTTCAAAAACAGGAGTGAAAAAGAGTATTTTTGCTCATGACCTTGGATGAAACAGCAATCCAGATCTTTGCAACTAAGTGTCTTAAATAGTTTTTCTCTCTTACAAACTAACCTCTGGATGACAGGTGTTTAAAATTGATATATATATCAAGGCAGGTAGGTGTCTAGATAGGCTGAGTCCACTGTGCTTACTGTTTCAGTTCAGCATTGAATCATTCAATACATGGTTATTAAAACAAACCTTTGTATTCCCCAAAGACATAGCAAGTAAGACTGCCAGCTCTTGTATCCTGAGGGGAAAAAAGAAAACTGAAATCACAAAAAAAACCAAAAAAACAAACAAACAAAAAAGCCAAAAAAAACCAAAAAAACCCCTAACATAACCCACTGGATTTTTTTTTTTCTTTTCTTATGGAAAGTTATATTAAGCTTTTGATTCTGAAGTGTTTCTAAATTCTTTTTCCAATAGAAAGGTGAAAAAAAGATTATTTTTCTTTTTTGAGTATATAGGTGTTTTCTAATACCACTCAAAATTAAGACATAAGACTTCAATTTGAGTGGCTTTCTAGCTACTCTGCCAGTCTTTTTTTTTTTCTTCTTCTTCTTTTGCTTGTGCCCAGTTGATTTCCTAAGGGACTAATGATCTTTTCTTACCTTTGTGCTCTCTCATTAACTCAGGTTGTCCCTCAGAGGACGAAGGAACTGGAACCTAAAGGCTTACTAATGGTCACATTTGTAACAGGACCCCGTGGACGTTGCTGAGGGTGAAAAGAGCACAGCTTTTAGCACCATAGTTTATTTCCTTTGAAATTTCAGCACCATCCTGGCACTTACCTCACGCTCTTTTGGCTTTCAAAACTCTCTGATGCATTCAAGCATGTAGTTATTTATAAATATATATATGTGTATATAAAAGTGCTGACGTACAGTGCTGTCTACATTAATGAAAGCAGAGAACATGATTTATATTTTGTTGAGTAAACTCTAGTACTTTTGGATAAAGAAGACTTTAGCAGGTACAAACGGCAGGCCAAATCCTAAAGCTGTTTACTAGCCATTAATTCCAGGCTCAATCCAGAAGCTCTTACTCAAGCAAAATGCCTGCAAAGTAATCGGATGCTTTATCTTCTTATTCTTGAATTTTGGAAGAGTGCTGTGTAATTTTTTTTAAATTGTGCAGGTTTCTATCAGCCCTATGTCATCTCATTCCTCAGGAGTGACTACTTGTGCAGTGTTGTATTATATGGTAAATCACCTGCAGCTGCAATGTATCACAGTATGCTGCAGACAGTGTTTTTACATTTTTACTTTAATCATTTGCAATGAGTAACAGATACTGTAAGTGGCAAAATACTTTGTCTTGAAAAGTAGCCATTGAAATACTGCTACAAAAGTAACCATAGAGTTTGGAAAATGATATGGTACAAAATAACCTATTTTGTTACATACAGTTTTATTCATTTCTGAAAATGATTGTTCTTTTGCAGGCATGGAGATCTGGATATCTTTCTAATGTAAAATTAATAGGAAATACTTCAATTGTTCAAATAGCTCTTAAATGTATTTTAGTTTTATAACTGATTGCATATTATGTTTGCAGCCTTTGTGCAAAGCAGTGTTCAATAGCAGAGTTTGCTCCATAATGAACACAGATGAAGGCTGCTCTTTATAGTATCAATCTAAAAATCCATGTGTATTAATATAATGCTGTTGATGTTAAGTTGTCCTGTTGCTTGGAATTGATTGCCACATTGCTTGGCACATAGCTGTCAACTAAGAGAACTCCTTGCAACTCCAACTTAAGACTTAACACTTCCCATTTAGAAAATGACCTTACAATTTAGTCAAATGACTAGACTGCTGTGGAACAGCAGCTGTTGGTGGAAAGTTCTCAAAATTGGCATGGATCACACACTGGTCTCTCTTTAATTGCTGATATCGTTGCCTGTGAATGCAGTGGTTGTCAATGACTGTAATTGCTTTATAGTTCTCAGACCATTCCCTAATGGTTAGCATTGACTTTTAGCTTTTAAGCTGAAAATATCTGAGGATTAATCTATTGGTTTGTTTTGTGCATTTTCTAGCAACTTTGTGTAAATTGCTAATTATTAATAACACCCTTGAGGCATGAAAATAAATACTGTAACATTCTCATGATGAAATATATTTTCTTTTGAAATCTCTGGGACCATATTTGGTGCAGTTGATTTACATAACTTGCCTGCATAGTATTGTGAAAGAGTAAAATAAAACAGCTCAGCTGCACCTGCTGTCTTCGAGATGTTTCTGAGTGCAGTCCCAGACAAGCATGGGATTTTTTTGTCATCTCTTTGGCCCATTGCCCACCTGCCCTGGACCACTGCAAAATACAGTGCCTGATCTCATAATTTTACCATAAGGTAAAATGACAAGTTCTCAGCATGATCTGCTACTTAAGTCTGGTTTTGTTAACAGTTCTATGTTTGTCACTAAAGAAATTAAATCTGTCTGGAAGATTGTCTACAGAGAGGTATGATCATCAAATGAAAAACCCTTGCATTTGTAAAGGTTTAAAAATGTAATTAAAGGTATCACTGCTTTAGAGCACTTACCCTCATTTGATGTTTAGTCCTGTTCTGTTATATTCAGTGTGGAATAGTTGGTCGTGTGACTCAAGTTGTGTAAAGTCACCGTTGTGAAGATACTCTCAGCAGTACTGGTACAAATATACTTTGAAGCTGTTTCCTGTTGTGGAGTTCTTCCTTGCAGTGTGGTGTATGCTAATACGTTACAACTTGCAACTTGCAGTGTTTTATTGCTTAATTTAAGCATAGTTTGCATTTCTTATGGTTTGATTGGTTGGCAAAGCATGCAGAAATTCTGAGTCAGATGCACCTATTTCTGGATGCCCAATATAATTAGGTGCAGCCCTGAAGCAACATGTTTTGTGCAACTTTCCAGGCACACAAAATGCAGAAATACAAGAGAGGGTTTAAAAATTGTTTGGAAAAAAATTAGTGCCATTTAACTTTGAATTATGATTGTATTTGCTCTGATGAGCTTCATAATTATGAGCTTCTGCTGCTTTTTTTTTCCTTCCTGTTTTCTTTTTGATTTTTTTTTTTTTTTGTTTTAATAATTATAACTTTGATACATATGAAATATGCCAGATGGACATTCCTGGAAATGTCAGTGTCCTGTATAACCTTGGAGCAGTTATGTAGAACCAACATGGTCATTAAATTCCCAAAATTTCTGTTTTCTGTAACCTTGTCCCAGGACATTGCTGTTGAAAGTGAGTTTTGTTTCTGTAGCTTATGTAGTCTGGTTTCCATGACCAGCCTGCTAAAAATTGTGTTAATTACTGGTACTGCAGTTGGGTGCACAGTGCCAATTGAAAACAGGACTGAAACCAGCAGCTTCTACCAGGCATTATTCACTGCTGCTAATTTTTAACTCCTAAAAATTGGGTTTGAATTTGTCACTAGGAGAGGAAAGCAGTTTGACTGTAATTGATACTTGGATACTTGAAAAGTATCCAAGAAAGGTTTCCGTACTTTTGAAGACAAAGGTTCTATTGAAGAAATAAGTTTGAACTGCATAATATTAAGTGCTTAATTGCTTGTGTGTAAATAAGGGAGTAAAATCCATAGGGGTAGTAATTTAGGGAGAAATTAAATGCCACAGTGTATAGTATTGGTTTCTTTGAAATACAAGAAATCTATCAATGCCCAGAGCACAAAATCACATTCATCCATTTATTGACAGTATTTCCTCCTGAGAGAAGTGTGTAGAATTTAAAGATCTAAGGAAAAAAAACCCATTTATTATGCACTTTTTAAAAGAAACCCAGAATCTAATTTTCTTCTTCTTTAGATTTGTTTTTTGAGATCTTCCCCAGTTTTATTGGCTTTGCTTGGGAGGTGATGTCCCATATCAGCTACCCCTGGCTGAGTGCAGGCATGGTTCTTTCTGGGTGGTACCAGCAAATGTCTGTCAGGGTGTGGCTGTGTGAAACCGGGCTTGCTTTTTGGTGCTCATAAGCTGCTGGTGTTATGGTAATCACTTCAAATATGGGTAGGCACTCTAGTCTGTAGTGATGTGAGTGCTAGGTTTGGGTCACTATGTTTCACAGTTGCAGTTAGTTGGGTCTTTTCCCTGTTGTTCATCTTAATTTTTTTTTTTTTAATAGAGGATCTGTTGTGTCTTGTTTGTTTCCCCTACTAAAAACCCTTTGCATGTGATTTCTTTTTTCTGTAAAAACCTAATCTTAAAATTAAAAAGATTCAATTTAATATAGGCATATTACAAAATTATATTAAATACTTGACTAGATGATTCACTTTCTTTTATTTAAAATGCATTTTATAATCCAGTTAGGTAGATAACAACAGTAAATGCATTCCCTAAAATTCAAGAAAATAACATAGACAACATCTTAAGTTTCTAACAGAAGCAAAATGAAGTGACATTGGAGACTCACAAAGTAGAAAAATAAAGCCAAAACTGAAATTTGGGGAAATTGCTGGGGCATTTTTTGGTTTATTTTTAAAAATTTGGGAGATAATTTTTATTAAAATATCATTGTAAAACCCCTGCATCATAGTTTTGAAAACTAACATTGATGTGAATGAACATTTATCCCTTGCTCTGTAGCTTTCAAAACGTTGACATTTCTCCCATGCTTTAAGCTTTCCCTTCCTTTCTGTGCTGTTTTCCTTTTGACCCAGCAGCCATACCTTGGATAGGTGCGCCAGCTCAACGTGAGCATGTTTAGTTGTTATTTCATGTGTGTGCTGGGTTATTCCTCATGCTGAATGCATACAGAAGCACCATCAAGTGAATGAGTTCCCACAAAATGCAGGCCCACTTTTGGGGGGACTTTTCTGTATATAATTATGTGTGTATGTGTGTATAAACGTGTTGTTAAAGTAGCAGCTCCTGATCTTGAGGTGAAATTATGTGGGCTTTCCTGTTTCCACATCACTGAGGTCTAACTTGCACCACAAGTGACTGGCTGCATCTATCCTGTCTTGTACTTGGCATCTTGTACCCTTCTGGGCAGCAGGTGATAGTCCTTACACATATTCCTTGGGTTTTGTCCAAACTATCCAAAAGAATGAGTAAACTATGTTGCAGCCCATCAGAATGGTGGTTTTTGTAGCACTAAACTTAAACCACATGTTTTATTACCTACTGTTAAGTACCACGTGAATGAGTTCTGTGGCCGCTTCATCCATCTGATGTCCTTATCCCCAAAAATTAGGGGTCGTGGGAGCAAACTGCTCCTGAAGACAAAGAGCAAACCAGAGGTGGAGGCTTGAACAGCTGAAGTGTCCAGGAGTGTGGTGTCCAAGACCTCTTCCTGGCCTTTAGCAGTGTAGGCACACCCAAAACTCCACAGACCATGGTGTAGAAGGGGTGATTGGCAGTCAGAGCTGACAGAAAATGTTCTTTGTCTTTTGAAAATATGGGATTAAAAAAATTCCATCCCAGATTGCAGCAAAGACTTGTTCCCTCTTTTCTAAATCAAATGTAAAAATATCTCTTAGATAAATGTTGTGCTTCAGTTTAGCCCCAACATGCTTGCTTTTTTTTTAAAAATATACTGAGTTTAACTTCACTAAGACTTTCTCACCTGAAATCAAAGGCTTTCCAGACTTCTCAATATTCCTGTGAAGCAGAAATAAAATCAATCATTTCCTTTGATGAAAGTTTAGATTCTTGTGAATTGGTAAGTTTTTTCAGGAGAAATATTTGCTAAAAATTCACAACCAGCCATTCTCTCTTCCACTCTCCCCCTTTTCTCTGCAGATGACCAAAATGTGGAAAAGAGGTGAGACTCCTCCTAGAGATCTGCTGTTGCATTTTTCATGAGGAATTCACAGAGGGGAGGCTGATACTCTAGGGATGAGCTTCTTCCCTCTGCTTGGTGCTCTAAGCAGCACAGTTCAGTATTACAAGTACAAAGTAGATGTGCAAAGGAAGCTGAAGGCAAGGGTGGAGAGATGGCATGTAAGTACTGCTCAGTACTGGTTAAAAGTACTAGAAGCTGTTAATAGAGTTTGGCAAGCTGACCTCCAGTTTTAACTTTTAAGCACCCACTTCTACTCCTCCAGAAAAGACAAATTATTGTGAAAAAAAAGATTATTATTTCTGGGCTGGCTTCTGAAACTTGGTGAGCAAGGGTGCTCTGACTTAAAACCATTGAAGTTGTATGTGTGAATATATTTTTCACCCTTTTTTACTCAGACTCTGTGTCTTTGGTAACACTTTCAGTTTGAATGTGGGTGTTTTCCAGGGCTTTTGCTGTAAGGGAGCTGAGGACCATGCTGCAGTGCCCTGCTGCAGAGCTGATAACCACAGCCTGCTGGCTGCAGCACGGAGCTGGGCTTGCACAGCGCACACTGAAGAAACTCCAGCCTTTGCAGTTGTAGAGGGCCCAGGTCTTATCCCTCAGGACTGCAGACATGGCTCTCAGCTGGGGAATGGTTAATACTTGAAAACCTTTAATGAACCAGCTGCAGTGTCATTGTTTTAGCTGTTCCAGGCTTCTCCTTTTGTCCCACTAGAGATGCAGGCACTTCAGAAGAATCCAACTAAAAGGAGACATTTGTCCTTCAGAATGGGACAACAAAGATAGAATCCATAGATAGAATATCCATATAGAATCCCAGCATCTAGAATAGTTGGGATTGGAAGGGGCCTTTAAAGGTCATCTAATCTAGTGCAGGGACCTCTGCACCTAGATCAGGTTGCTCAGAGAACCTGGCCTTGAATGTGTCCAGGGATGGGACATCTTCTACCTCTTTTGGCAAGCCTTATTTTTTGCTTCCTTTTACCTCAATTCTTGTATATGTAAGTAATATTTTGAAGTGTATTTTATCCCCCAAATAAAAGAAAGAAAGGTTTAAAAAAGATTAAAGAAATTAAAGAAAGGTGAGTCCCTTCATATGTATTCCTTCATCTTTACTTATGATTTTTCTAGCTTGTTATGTTTTTTTTTAAGACCTGTAAACAAAGTGAGCAGTTCAGGTATCAAATGCAGCATTTGTGGACTTTATATGAATGTACAAAATGTTTGGACTGATAAATAGTGTGTGTAGTAGTACTTTTGTCTTGGTAGTAAGATGTAATGTTTTAACCTTTTTATTTTTATCTGTGCCTGAAATACTTTTAGATAAAGAAACCCTGTTATTATGCTACTAATCAGAGGATAATTCAAAGCAAAGTTTCTGTAAGTTAGAAGTATTCTTCAGGTTGTTTCACATTTCATAACTCCTACTTGAGAGAATGCAAATGAAGCAAGCCAGTAATTGAAGACCAGTTGATGTTACACACTGGTGTTTCTTTTATATTTGGCTTGAGGCATAGAATAACAGCTTGAGAAGCCAGTACAACAACCACTAGCTTTTATGATTTATTTAAAGTAGTCACAGTTTTAAGCATGAAGAAGCTTGTTAAAGCTGTGCTCTTGATATAAAAAAAAAATATTCATAGAAAAAAATATGCCCTTAAATGTGACGATGTTTTCCTATCTGGTGCTGCTGCAAGGACTGAGGATTTGTTAGATCAGGAAAACAACCTAAAAACTGTAGCATTGTTAAATGTTATGCTGTGAAATACCAATCAAGTGCCATTCAGCATTGAGTTCTGGGAAAATAGTGTGTGTGTTTGGCTGTTTCTGTTTTTCCCAACCTTACTGGTCTCAGTTAATAGTTGTTTCTAGAGGGAAACCACAAGGAAGCGCAACAGGAACCTGTTGATCATCCTGCAGTTCCAGTTACAAGGAACACAGATGGGTGATGACTCTGTATCACTTTGTTTCACACTCCTGCTCACCAATCTGTCCTGCTGTCTGTCTGTCTCCTCAGGTCCCTGTACTTTCAGTTTGCCATTTGCAATTTCTGTTTCCTTAGTGGACCTCTCTGGAGGCAAGCTGACAGGAAGCTCACTAAGCAAAAACATCTATGAATTTGGGAGCTGGAGCCTTGGACATTCTACCACATTCCCATGGACTTCTTCAAAATGACATAATTTAGAAAAGATTCTGCACTTACTATTTCTCTTGATTAAATTAAGAATTGAAAAATGTATGTATTTTTTTTTAATTTCTGTGGGAATTTTTATGTCCACTCCAGGTCTTGAATATCTTGCAGTTTAAATAAGCATCTAAATGTTTTGTTTGAAATAAAAATATGCAACAATTTACCCAGACCATTTCCATAGTTTCTGTGTTTGGTCTCTGAGGAATGTTTGCTGTGGAGTCACTGGGATCTCCTTGATAGCCTACTATCCAAAATTTTGGAGTAAGTAAAACCAGGTAGCTGATGCCCAGCAATATGACTCTTCCCTTTTTCGTCCTGGAGCTTTATGATGATCCAAACTCTCTGCATATGTTGGGGAATTGAGGAGCAATGACAGGGAGCAGCTCAAGATCTCACATTTTTTAAAGATGAGGTTAGAAGCTAGTGCTGGATATCACCATTTATTGTTCTGGGCTAGCACATGGACTGAACAGGTTAATTCGTGTAACAAACAAGGCACAAATAATATATTGAAATTCTGTGAGAGAGAATTGTTAAGGTAACTAAAGTTCCTGGAAGGGCCAGGCAAATGCAGAGCAAACCCTCTTGCTGGGCTTGGCTGGACATAGGCATGGTGGGGAGCATGTTCTTTGGCAAACAGGTGTTTCTGCTGTGACCTGTGTGTTAGGTGAAAAGGACTTATTGCCTCGTGTTCTGCAAAGGTATTTGGCAGCTATAACTTTACTTCATGTTTATTGACTGATTCCAAGACAATATTGCTTGCTCTTTTCTCCAAGTCTGATTCTTTGGCAGTTAAAGTTGGCAGTTAAAAACTGCAAAAGATGCTGGATGGGTGGAGAATTATGGAACCACAGAAGGTGGAGGGGACCCCAAGGATCATCAAAGTCAAACTCCTGGCCCTGTACAGGACACCCTCAAGAGTCACACCCTGTGCCTGAGAGCACTGTCCAAACACTTCTTGAATTCTGTCAGGCTGGTGCTGTGATCACTTCCCTGGGGAGCCTGTTTCACTGCCAAGCCACCCTCTGGGGGAAGAAACTTCTCCTGATATCCAACCTAAACCTCCCCTGACACAGCTTCAGGCCATTCCCTCAGGTCCTGTCTCTGGTCACCACAGAGCAGAGATCAGTGCCTGCCCCTCCTCTTCCCCTCACAAGGAAGCTGTAACTGCAGTGAGGTCTCCCCTCAGCCTCCTCCAGGTGGAACAGACCCAGTGCCCTCAGCCTCTCCTCACAGCTTCCCCTCAGTGTGATTTTAATGAAAAGCAAACTTTTTAAGCAGCAAAATTAACAGAACATGGCATTATGTTTGTTTCCTATTTTGGTGCCTTAAAATGATCAGAGCTCAGTCTGATGCTTTTTCTTCTGCTGTGGTATCATATTGCAGGTTCCTCTTCCATGGATTTCTGATGTGCAGCAGGAGCTGTGTCACATGTGGCACCTTTCTTTGGCACAAAATTTGCACATAATTTCTTTCCACTGCCAGGTCATTTATTTTCATTAAATATATAAGAAGGCAAAAGTTTTAGTCAATTCTCCTCTCTCTTAAGTCAGATTAGAATCAGCTGAAAAGCCAAATTGCTTTGGGGGGAACTTGGAGTGGATGAGTGGGCACAAAAACCACCTGGCTGCAAAAGTGTTGTTTCCAGAAGAATCCGACTCCATTCTGACTGCTATCTTATGTGTTACTTGAAGAGGACTAAACTAACCATATTCCCAGAAGCAAACAGTATCAGTTTGAGACTATATGATGTGGTTTTTTAAAATACACTAAGAGTTGATCCAGGGATAAGTGATTTCAATGAATGGCAATAGTAACATAGATTTTCTTGTGCCATAAACATGCATTGTGCTCCTCCAAAAGAGGAGTCCTCTGTCTCAGAAGTTAACCTAAACAAAATGCAAATCACAGCATGTTAAAGTTGTTTGGCACTTAGGTTTCACCCAGGGTCTTTCAGCCATGAACAAGAATAGCATTTCCTTTGAATGGGAGATCTCCCAGGAAGGTAAGTATTGAGTACCCCCACACCTGTTGTTTAATCCTTAGGGACTAAAAAGATGATTATATGAAGATGAAAATCAGAACCTCTTTCTTCTGGTAGCCCAGAGACATGTTGGTGTTAAGCAATTATAGTGCTTTCTAAGTAGTAACCAGCATTTGGAACTGTTATCTAAGGAAAACTCTAAATGCACTGGTGGCCACTGAGCTGCAAGGACTGAACAAGCAGAGAGGGGCTGCCAAGGAAGCAGAGTGCAGGACACCACTTGGGTAAGGCCAGGTGTATGGGGTGGATGGAGGAGCCATACAGGAAAGGGGTTTGGCAGCTTCAGAAGCATCCAGAAATGCCCTAACTCATTAGGGAGCTGATGCAACCATGCTCTGAGAAGTATATTAAATCAGACTTAAAAAATACTTGAGACTGTGTGGAAAAAAACTCACTAAATATATTCACTGTTTTGTATAATACAAGAATACTTGCAGGTTTTTCTCTTCTGCACCTTTGTCTTTCCAGCAAAAGACGAAGTATCTTATTTTGTTGCCTTGAAAAATTAGGCTTTTTTAGTCTTAGAGATTTTCTCTTGGATAACTGTTCTGTAGAAAAAGTTTAGTTGGTAGTGTTTGAACTCTGCTAAATAAGTTTGGTTTGGTAGTAAATTATTTCAGTTTCAAATCAGCATGTTTTAATGTCAAGTGTTTTAGAGTAACTTTGCTATCTGCACTACACAGAAAATTCAATATACTGCTTCAGGACAATAATATATAATCATATCTCTCAGTAAAATTTTCTTCAAGGCTGTAGATGTTAATTAATACAGTATCACCAGAATGTTGGAGGCAAAGAAAAATCACATATTGGTGACAAAAGAGGTTCCAACAGAAGTGGCTTTGTTTTTAATTTTGCAGCTTTCATGAGAATGATGATTTTAAAGTCTATTTTTTACTGCTGATTTGTAGGTAACTACAAATAACTGAGAAACACTTTCTCTCTTGCATTTTTTTTTTCTTTCCCAAATTTAGCTCCAGAAGATTTAAACCTAAAGTATTTCTTAACTAATGAGAGCTTCACAGAAATATATATAAAAGTAATGGATAAGATTAAAATTATTGGTGTGAAACAAGAGACACACATCAGTAACCCGGAATGACCAAATGCCTTGGAAACAACATGCACAAGGTTAGGTTCACAGCCTGGTTGATTAGCAGGAATGGAGAGATTGAGTGTATCTGAGCACAAACTGTATATGTATAAATTAATTCTATTCTAAACTTGGGAAGTCATTTAAATGCAAGACTTGGTTGGCATAATTCCTTTACCTGAAATTCAAAAAGCAGCAAGAGTTTTGCTGCCTTCCACCCTGTGCCTCTGAATGCTATTACATCTACAGGTGGTGAATGCTGTGGAAATTGGTGACAGAGTAAGGCAGTGCCCCTTTCAGGTTCCTTGTTTCAATGTCACCAATGGCTGAAGTTTGTCTGTGTCAAATGAATTAGATCATACCTGTTTCTGGGTGTGTATCATCCTAAAAAACCACCCAAAACACCAAAATGAATATTTTATTTGTCACTATTTGGCAGGATGGCTAAAAGCTCTAGGCGGATATGTTAAAAAATAAAAGTTATATGAAAGCTGAAATGCCCTTTTTTTTTTTTTTTTCCAAGAAAAGGTCACTGAAAGGCTTGGATGGAAAAGAGACTCTTGGAAAGAGGATGCTTGAACTGGTTTTGGTTATTTTTTGTGTTTGGGGTTTTTTTTCCCCTGCTAAAGAAAGAACATAATTACATGTCTAAAATAAAGAAGAAAAACAAACAACCAAGAACAAATGCCTAGAATTCCTTTTTATTCTGCATATTCTTGTCAATTTTATAATGGAATATTATCATTTTAACAAGCTAGTTCATAGCATTTTAAACCTAGTAAAGAAAATAAATTGACAGAGCATCTATTTTCAATAAATTTTTTTCTCTTAGATACTGATGATCTTTGAAGGACAAGAACAGTTTCTGAAAGACTTAACTGCTGTATCTTTTATAAGCAGTAAATGTGCAAGAAGTTAAAGCCTGTGTCCCTTTTAGGTTTCTAAGATTTGTAGAGTTGTAAACATTCTAGCAAAATTTCAGATGCCAACAGAATTCTATTAAAAATATTATTATAAAGTTCTTTATAAAAACTTTTTTCCTATTTATGTTTTTATTGGCTCTCTGTAGGATATGGGTTCATAACCCAGTCATAATCAGTTCCACTCTGAAATTAGAAATGGGAATGAAGCCACTTTTCCACAAGTTAGAGAGTAAGAGCTGTTTTGGTGCCAGCAAAAATGCGACTAATAATGATTCTTCCTAAAGATATGAAGTACAAGAGGCATGGTATAAAAATGGTTATCTGGATGAAATTTGATAAGTCATTAAAAGATATATTGTGAATGGATGTAACTCATTTCCATCTACATTTGTAAAGTAAAAAAAAAACATCCCTGGATTTTTGCTGATTTGCCTTATAATATTATAAATCTTGTAAACATATGCTAATATAATTTATATTGCAGTTAACAGTTTATATGCTTCTATCTCTAGAAATTTTCAGGGGGTTTTTTTTGGTTTGTTTTTTTTTTTTTTCATGATGTAGAAACTAAAAAGCAATTTAAGATGAAAACAAATATGAAGAGTTGTGGAGCAGCTGTCAATTATTTCTTAGAATTCATGGGGTTTTTTCTTCCTGGAATAAAAACTGGGATTTAAGGAAGCTGGAAAACCAGGCAGATGAGAATTTGGCTGTCCTAACATGCCAAAACATGATCTTACGGCTAATTTTGTTAGAATAAAGTTTATTTGAGCATTCAGTTTCCCTGTCAAGGCAATGTGAACAGAAATGCCTCAGTCTGGTTGTGTCGTGGAGAGGGAAGTGGTGACAAATGTGAAACAAGGTATTTTATTTGAGTTGCTGACAGTGAAAGGCAAGGGGGTAGTGAGTGAATGAATTTGTGTGCATTGCTGAGGCATGCTGGGTGGAGGACCTTTCTTGTAGGTTTTTTGCAAGCTTGTCTCACCAACACGGAGTTTGTTGAGGAAGGGATTTGGTGGTTCTCTCTGTTAGGTCCCTTGGAAGCAAGACACCTTTGAAGTAATCAAGGGCCAAAGATGACAGTTTGTATGCCA